TTGTGTGGTGCCCATATCTTAAGAAGCACATCAACAAACTGGAAAAGGTGCAAAGACATGCTACTAAGTGGCTCCCAGAACTGAAGGGTAAGAGCTACAAGGAGAGGTTAGAAGCATTAAACATGCCAAAACTAGAAGACATAAGAAAAAGAGGCGATATGATCACTACATACAAAATGGTAACAGGAATTGATAAAATCGACAGGGAAGATTTCCTGGGACCTGGCACTTCAAGAACAAGAGGTCATAGATTTAAACTAGCTAAACACACATGCCGAAGAAATATAAGAAAATTCACCTTCGCAAATAGAGTGGTAGACGGTTGGAACAAGTTAAGTGAGAAGGTGGTGGAGGCCAAGACCGTCAGTAGTTTCAAAGCGTTATATGACAAAGAGTGCTGGGAAGACGGGACACCACGAGCGTAGCTCTCATCCTATAACTACACTTAGGTAATTACACTTAGGTAATTACACACACGGGGAACACGCACAAGGGGGGGACAGGTGGAAACTGAGTGCCCAAATGAGCCACAGAGATATTAGAAAGAACTTTTTTAGTGTCAGAGTGGTTGACAAATGGAGGTGATGTGGTGGAGGCTGACTCCATACAGTTTCAAGTGTAGATATGATAGAGCCCAATAGGCTCAGGAATCTGTACACCTGTTGATTGACGGTTGAGAGGCGGGACCAAAGAGTCAGAGCTCAACCCCCGCAAACACAACTAGGCGAGTACAACTAGGTGAGTACACCCACCCACCCCAGGAAGCATCCCGTGACAGCTGACTAACTCCCAGGTACCTATTCAACCCGTCCTCTTAAAAAGAACGTCACTTTTGGCTCGTATGCGCGATATGGCTAAATTTGGACGTAATTTGAAATGAAATCGACTCACAAAAGTGACGTTCTGTTCCGTTTTCTATTGAGTCGGCCGGCGTACGCGCAGAGGTTATAAGAGGACACTTTAAATTAACGTTTTTCATAACGTTTTGAAACTTTATGAGAATTTCCTGGCCACCTAACCTATCAGAGGACCCTTAACGTACTGTTGTTGAAAAAAAAATCCCAAATTTATTTTCATTTTTTTTCCAATTTCAAATTACGTCCAAATTCGGCCATACGGGCAAACGGCCAAAAGCGACGTTCTTTTTAAGAGGACAGGTTGACCTATTTACTGCTAGGTAACAGGGGCATTAGGGTAAAAAGAAACTCTGCCCATTGTTTCTCGCCGGCACCCGGAATCAAACCAGGGACCACAGGATCACGGGTCCAGCGTGCTGTCCACTCAGCCACCGGCCCCGGCCCACTGGTATAGGTGTTCTGAAGTTCGCTTATTGACATCGGTCCAAATTTAGAGCATCTGGCTACCTACAGGTTCCAGACTGATTCTGCAACTTCCATTCTTTACGGACACCACGTTCAGCAGGGAATAAGTATCCTTTGATAAGTTTTACAGGCCTTTAAAATTTAATTAGGTTGTTTCCCTGTCGTAACGATGCATGGCAACGTATAATCCTACGCAAGTGAACTTCTGAATTTGAATCCCTTTAGAATTTACGATTAAATGAATGATTCTAGGGTTTGGAGTGGAATTTACATAATATTTGCACTTCAGCTGGAGTACAAATGTATGCGAGACAGTAACTTCTACCACTATCACGTGTTTCCCGAGTAGCCTGTGCAACAAGTTCACGTCTACAAGGAAACGATTTGCAAGACGCATGCTGTGATACCTGCTTACAGCTAAGCTGTGTTTCTCGTTTTTAGTAGACAAACATTGCATTTAACTAACCATTGAATACTGTATCATTTATAATCTATATACATGCATTTCTTATTCTCACCATTTATGTAATTTATTATACATTACAAGCATTACGTAGACTAACCTTATAGAATAACCCCCCAAAATGTTATGGGAAGCGGCTCTAGAATTTATAAAATTTACATTTCATTTATTATTATATATTAATTTAACCCTTTAACTGCGCGGCCTATAAATATGACACCCCCCAGTGCGCAGGAAATAAATTCTCTTGAAAAAATTCTTTTGTTTTTTTAAAGTGTCAAAAACCCTTGCCCCAGTTTTTTTTTTTTATTATTATTATTATTATTATTTTCTACCACAGACGTGGCCACACATTTACAATGCTAACCAGCATATACACATTTTCTTCTGTCCTCCATGGACAGGGTTAGAGAAGTGTTAAACATATAGTTCAAGGGTTTATTGAACACTCAACCACAGAAGGTGATTCGGTGCTTTTAAAATGCTAAGCTAACCTACATACGTAAATACATAGATACACAGATTTAAGTATGCCCTACATAAAGTGTTAGGTGTGTCTTTTACATAGTGTCATTAATGTACATTCACAAAGGTAAAATGTAATTCTGATCAGCTTCCATATATACTTTATACCCATACATATACATACACACACACACATATACATACATATACACACACACACACACATGCATTCACATACATTTGTCTCATTTACTCTGACAGTGTGAGGTAGCTGATAAAGAAACTAGTGTGCAATTAAGCACTTAATCACTGAAGGTGATGAAGGTGCTTTTACAAGCTCAGGTTATATAGTTACATCATATATATACATTGTATGATTGATATATTACATGGTCAATCTTGGATACAAGTCCAATATATCATCTAGTAACTACAGAGTTCAGCATACCTTAGCCCAGGAGGGCGAAAGTCAGTCAGTATGGGACATTCTACAATATAATGTTCAAGAGAGTGCATGTTTTCTCTTTCACAAAGTTGACTTCCCCCAGTATAGGTATGTCAAAAAAATTTTGAACTTGTACTTTCTTTGGCTGCTTTGGGGTCCATAAGTTGGCGCATGACGTCATCATTACCCGTTCGCCAGTGCAGTAAGCTCCCGGGGCCGGTAGGGCATCTGGGGCGGGGCGCGCGAGTTGCCGCGAATATATTTTTGTTCATTTTTTGCGCACAGTTCCAAATATATTTTATTTGTTTTTACGTGCTAATCCTATGTATAATGAACACGTGCACTATATTATGGCAGTAAAACATCCGTACTGTTCGAGGACACTGTTACGTGCATGACACTTGTGTACACATATGTTGCACATATTTACCATGTATCATGCTAATTTATGTATATATACAATCTATTTACACACTATACACTGTCACACACTATATACATTCCCCCATCAACACATTCAGAACACCGTGAGTGTGAGTAGCCACGCTCAACCAGCCCTCCCTCACTCCTCCAACATCTTACTCGCCAACATTGCTCCTCCAAATCATACAGTTATTCACACCAATGTTTCATGTTCATTTATGTATATTTACAACATATTTACACACTATACACTGTCACACACTATATACATTCCCCCATCAACACACTCAGAACACCGCGAGTGTGAGCAGCCACACCCAGCCAGCCCTCCCTTACTCCAACATCTTACTAGCCAACATTGCTCCTCCCACCATACTGTTATTGTATTTATTACACGATTTACACATGTTATATATACCTATCTACATGTTTTATTTACCAGAACTATGCAAGTAAGCCGGTATTGTGTCCAAACAGTACAGTGGCCACCATACACTGCATGACAAATCACACAACAGAGAGCAGACGACGCCACGATTACGTCACCTCCCTCACCAAAATAGCTCCTCACAACATACTCCTGGTGCTGTTATTACACTATTCACACACACTGTATATACCCATGTACATGTGTGTTCCCCATAGCGAACCATGAAGCTAGAACGGTGAGCAAAACAAGAGTTACTGCCACACAGTGAGGCTACCTCAATTCTCTCCCTCACCAAAATTCCTCCTTCCTATGCACAATGCTCATTATAACCACAATCCTGATCACTAATACCTGTAAATGAATAATTGACCACAAGTTTATTTTGAAAAGGAACCTAAAAAGTCGTTTGAAGATTCCTGGATGGACGAAATAATGCTGTGGTGCTGTGGCTAGCGCTGTGAACATCGTGAACAGCAGTGAATCACTGATATTTGAACATTGTACCCAGCCATTATCACACTCAGGCTCTTCTATAATACTATCATGGCTAAATAATACAAGTTATATATATATTATGACAATATTAGGCGATGCTGTGGTCACACGCTGAACAGCAGTGCTGTGCGCTCATGCTGCGAGCGCCACCCTTGGTTGCTCACTCACTACTGAGGCTCTGACACCCGGCAATGTGGACCATGATTTTTTTTAAGATGGCGTCTGTTTACAAGAGCCCTGAGGAAGCTGATGTGAACCCCATGTAGCCGCGGGAGTTTTGAATGGAACGTGAAAAATAAAAACACCCGGAGGCGCGTTGGGCACCCGAAGCCTGGGCCTGCAGGCGCGTTGCGCAGTTAAGGGTTAATTAATAGAATCTTTAGAACTTAATTGCATTTTATCATAGAGATCCATAAGCTACTTGTTCTCTCAATTAGAATAGAATTCTGGTCCTTCGACCATATTAGAACTATACATTATTTTATTAGCATATAATCTAAAGCCAGATTTCCCCACACTCAGTGGCTCACCAAACTACCCCACCTAGTGGGTGCCCTCGGTCGCTCCCAGAGCTACCCTCCTAATGGGTGCCCTTGGAGGCTCCCTGAGATCCCCACCTAATGGATTCCCTTGGAGGCTCACCAAGCTACCCCACATAGTGGATGCCCTCAGTGGCTCACCAAACTACCCATCTAGTGGGTGCCCTCGGTGGCTCCCTAAACTACCCACCTAGTGGGTGCCCTCGGAGGCGCCCTGAGATACCCACCTAGTGGATGCCTTTGGAGGTTCACCAAGCTACTCACCTCGTGGGTGCCCTTAGTGGCTCCCCAAGCTACCCACCTAATGGATCCCATCAGGACCCATTCTAGAAAATAGCAAATCCAACACAAATTTTCACCACTGGCAGCCTACAATGGCTGCTGCAATACCTCCTATTATATCAGCTACAGTACTTACCTCCCATATGCAAGTTTATCCAGTGATGACAGACAACCAGTGCTGCAAGCACACAACCTGTTGACAATGTAAAGCAAACTATTAAATGTAATAAAAAGTAGAACGGCATTTGGTTAAGTTGATATCTTAACCACTGAACTGCACAACGCGCCTGCAGGCGCTCAACAGGGGGTGCGCAAAGCGCCTCTGGGATCTTATATTTTTAGTGTTTTATTCAAAACTGGCACGCGGCGATGCGGGTACAAAATGGATGCCTGGGGGCCCCCAGTGATCATCCGCCATCTTGAAAAAAATTCCCAGCAAGCCCTGCAGCCATGGGGAGCCTCAGTTTCAAATAAGCAACCATGTTTGATGCATTGTCTACGAGCTCCCGCTCCACTGTCACCCGCAGTCATGGAAAACGATTCTCTGAGGAGGAAATACATGACATTTTGTATGATGATTTTTGTTATCTTGAGGTTATCTTGAGATGATTTCGGGGCTTAAGTGTCCCCGCGGCCCTGTCTTCGACCAGGCCTCCACCCCCAGGAAGCAGCCCGTGACAGCTGACTAACACCCAGGTACCTATTTTACTGCTAGGTAATAGGGACAAAGGATGAAAGAAACTTTGCCCATTGTTTCTCGCCGGCACCTGGGATCGAACCCATGTCCACAGGATCACAAGTCCAGCATGCTGTCCGCTCGGCCGACCGGCTCCTTAATGGTGCTATGGATGATGACTTAAGACTCTGATCCAGAGAAAGACCTTACACAGAGGTCTGATAAGAATGAGGGAGAGACGGAGGTGGATGATGATGCGAGTGCGTATGGTACACGCGCCTCGCCCGGCCTGACTCACCGCCCTGGGTCAACACCGTTTAGAGTCACCACCATCATGTGTATCCTCTGACGCTAGTTTATTCAGTGATAGTACTTGCGAAGAATCTTTCTCAGGCTTCAGTGACATAGGCTTCGATACAAATAGTGTTGACCCGAGTACGAGCAGCAAGGGTATTACTAGGCGTGGGTTTGCTGCCTCAGCAACATGTCATGGCAAGCAGCAGCGTGTCATGCAGCTACAGGACAATGACGACAGTGGGCCCTCTACATCAGGTGTTCATGGTAGGCCTGCAATACGTAGATCAGCCTCATCTCCTACCATACCCACTCGCAGTTCCAGCACCAGATGACAGTGCAGTGTTTTTGGTGCTCGTTGTGGTGTTGGCACCAAAATCAAACCCCCAGGTGTACTTGTGTTGGAGGATTGTGCCACATTTGTGCCACAAATACCAATGTTTGATGGTACCGATGTTGGTGTGACACCATTATTCCTGTATACAGGTGAGGATATGGCAGAATTAGACTATTTCCTGCATATTTTCATAACGAATTCATGACCCATCTTGTGACCAAGATGAACAGATACACTCACAGCCTCATAGACACCGGCATTTTACCAGCCTCTCACCTGACACAATGGAAGGACACCACAAGGGACGAAATGTATGTGTTTCTCGCACTGAGCATGATGATGAAACACTCCGGGAAACACGTCATCCAGGATTATTGGAGCAAAGACAGCCTTGTTCCATCACCCGTGTTCAACAGGTACATGTCACATGATAGGTTCCTGTTGCTTCTCAGGTGCCTGCATTTCGAAAATAATGCAAATGAGGGCAGACACGACAGACTTTGGAAGGTACGGAAGGTTTTCAGTGACATGAGAGGCAAGTTCCGTGACTATTTTGTACCTGGACAGAACGTGGTGATCGACAAATTGCTTGTACTGTTCAAGGGGCAACTGTCATTCAAGCAGTACATCCCATCAAAGCCCCACCGATTTGGACTAAAGGTTTTCGTGCTGAGCGACTGTGAAACTGGTATCGTCATGGACATGATACTGTATTCAGGTACAGACGTTGACATACCAGCTCAATATGAACACGGGTTTTCTAGCAGTGTTGTTAAAACCCTGATGGAACTGTTGCTGAACAAGGGGCATATACTGTTCACCGCCAACTACAATACCAGCCCCTGTTTGACCAGATACCTCCTTGCCCATAACACCGGCGTATGTGACACTGTGAAGGCCCACAAGAAGGAAATGCCAGTGTTTGGCATAGATATTGCAGTGGATGATTGCCAGCTGCGCAAGTGTGACAACATGCTCTCAGTACGGAGGAGGGACAGATGCGAGGTGAATATGCTGACTACAATTCACACCGGTGCCATGTTGGATAGTGGCAAAGTCCACTTTCAAACACGCTTCCCCATGTATAAACCACATTGTGTCATAGACACATGAACATGCGCCTAGTAGATAAATGTGACATGATGCCCGGTGCCGTCGAGTGCGTGCGGAAGTCTGTGAAGTGGACGAAAAAGTTCTTTTTCCACCTAATAGGTGTTGCAGTGCTCAACTGCTTCAATATGTATCTGGTAAAATCAGACAGGAGATCACCAATATGGATATTCAGTGTTGATGTTGTGTCACAACTGCTTGTAAAGTACGGCAAGGAGGGCTCTGTTGCACCGTGGGGTGCCATCAACAATGCCACAAGCAGGTCCAGACAGGCTGAGAGGTAACGAGATGTTCGGTGTCCACATGCTCGAGTATATGCCAGGCACAGCATCCCGGAAAATGGTAAACCCTGTATAGTATGCAAGAACACTACCCGAAGAGAACAAAAGCGAAGATGCAACCTGGTGCATTGAGTGCAAGGTTCCACTATGCCCCCGTTAGCTGTTTCGCAGGATATCACACACTCGCGGAATTCTGAGTGTGTTGATGAAGTGTGTATATAGTGTGTGATACTCTACAGTCTGTAAATAAATTGTATATATACATAAATGAGCATGATACATTGAAAATATGTGCAAGATATGTGAACATATTTGTGATACACATAACAGTGTCTTCGGACAGTATGGATGTTCTACTGCCATAATATAGTGTATGTATTCATTATACAGAGCACCACTTGGTTTCTGAACCCCTTGGGGACGAGACCCGTCGGTTATCGTGTAAGTTCATAAACGAGAATGGAGGAAAATGGACATTGAATTTTTTTTTAATTTAACAAAAAATTCTAAGGGAAAAAATTGACAGATTCATAGCATAAATGCAACAAATGAAATAAAGTTCATTGTGTAATTGCGTTCACTCACCCCTACCCTTCCCTCCCTCACTGCTTCTATCTCTCACTGCATCGCCCCCTCACTGCCTTCCCCTCCCTCACTGCCTCTTCCCCTCACTGCCTCTTCCCCTCAATGCCTCTCCCCCTCAATGCCTCACTGCCTCTCCCCCTCAATGCCTCACTGCCTCTCCCCCCTCAATGCCTGCCATCCCTCCCTCACTGCCTTCCTCATAACATAAGAACAGCAGGCTATGGAGGAGGGGGAGCTACTAACGGGGTCAGGAACTACTAACGGGATGGAGGCTGTGTAGAGGCGGACATGGCTGTCAGCGCCTGCTCACAGATGCCAACTGTGCATAATTCATAAATACAACTATATTTGTTTAAATAATAAATAGGAAATCATATAACATGTTAATAATTAATAATGTATATTAATATATGAAAATTAACATTTTGGCATAAATATTTTACAACTAAGATTAAAATTTGTAATACAATATGACTGAGAAGTGTGGCAACAATCACCTGGTCAGCAAATCCTTCCTTACTGCCGTCCTCACCACTCCACCAACAGAGAGGGGAGAGAATTAATGAGAAAGTGAGAGAGGGGGAGAATTAGTGAGAAAGTGAGAGAGGGGGAGAATTAGTGAGAAAGTGACAGGGGGGGAGAATTAGTGAGAAAGTGAGAGAGGGGGAGAATTAGTGAGAAAGTGAGAGAGGGGGAGAATTAGTGAGAAAGTGAGAGAGGGGGAGAATTAGTGAGAAAGTGAGGGAGGGGGAGAATTAGTGAGAAAGTGAGGGAGGGGAAGATAGGGAGAGATGCTAGGAGGAAAGTAGTGAGGGAGAATGGGAGAATTTGGGAGGGAGGGAAAGGCAGGCTGCCTGCCTGCCTCTCTCTCTGCCTGCCTGCCTCTCTCTCTGCCTGCCTGCCTCTCTCTCTGCCTGCCTGCCCCTCTCTCTGCCTGCCTGCCCCTCTCTCTGCCTGCCTGCCCCTCTCTCTGCCTGCCTGCCCCTCTCTCTGCCTGCCTGCCTGCCTGCCTGCCTGCCTCTCTCTCTCTCTCTCTCTCTCTCTCTCTCTCTCTCTCTCTCTCTCTCTCTCTCTCTCTCTCTCTCTCTCTCTCTCTCTCTGCCTGCCTCTCTGCCTGCCTGCCTGCCTGCCTGCCTGCCTCTCTCTCTGCCCGCCTGCCTCTCTGCCTGCCTCTCTCTCTGCCTGCCTGCCTGCCTCTCTCTGCCTGCCTCTCTCTCTGCCTGCCTGCCTGCCTCTCTCTGCCTGCCTGCCTCTCTCTCTGCCTGCCTGCCTGCCTCTCTGCCTGCCTGCCTGCCTGCCTCTCTGCCTGCCTGCCTCTCTGCCTGCCTGACTGCCTCTCTGCCTGCCTGCTTCTCTGCCTGCCTGCTTCTCTGCCAGCCTGCTTGCCTGCCTTTCCCTCCCTCCCTCCCTAATTCTCCCATCCCCCCCTCACTACTTCCTTCCTGCCTACCTCCCCCTCCCTTTCTCACTAATTCTCCCTCTCTCTCTCTCTCATACTGCCTCCCACCTAAGCTCCCATCCATCCACCCACCAGTCAGCAATCGTTGATGCAATGGGTGCATTTGGAGCCGACATGGTGCACAGATGTTTCTTGATTGTGCAGATTGAACTCTCCAGCCTCATGACAAATCAAAATAACAGGAATAATACGCCATGAATCTGTGAAATCACAGGGTAGAAGGCACTCTTGATTAGTGGCGCCCAACACGGTCAGTGGGCAAACTGGAGCATCTCCCACCCATCACCACGGGCCGGCGCGACGCTTGGCGTACCACTTCCTACCCGAACTTTGTTCGTGTAGCATGACTTCCCAACCCCAATCAGGAAACTGGAAGTTTCAGATAACTAAAGTTCGGAAACCAAGTGGTGCTCTGTACATAGGATTGGCAAGAAAAAACAAAAAATGTATTTGGAACTGTGCGCAAAAAAACTTAACAAAAATATATTTGTGGTAACTTGCGCATCTTGAACCTGGTGCACTACTGCCCCCGGGAATGTATGCCATGGGCGACCAGTGGCTGATAACGTCACTCGCTATTTTATGGACCCCAGTGCGGCCAAAGTACAATTTAGAGTTTATTTTCTCATTTCTGTATTCAGGGAAGGGTTTTTAACACATTAAAAATAAAATCCCGAGAATTTATTTCCTGCGCACAGGAGGGGGGAAGGGCGAGCAGCACGGTGGTTAAAAAGGAAATGAGTCTGTTCAAGGGTGGAAGGGCTAGCCTGACTCCACCTTGCAGGATGAATGGTTGAGGAATAGGGTACTGTCATAGCCACAGCCTCAGTGGCTACCACACAAGAAAAAATATCAACAGTGTTATGCTGAAACATCACACGTTTCAGCATCACATATACAGTATTAACATACCAGCCAGTTCTTTTGATATCCTACTGCATTACCAGAAAAGTATGAACCCAAGCAACCCACCAATTGAAACCAATGCACAGAAAACCCAAGGTTGTATGTAATGAAATGCCAATTTCTGGGCGAGCCCAGTGGCTCCCTGAAGCTACTATTCTGATGCAGTGCCATTCTACGTGCCATCAGTCATGGAATGCATTTAGAACTATTGGGGACCATGAACCAGAACCTGGCCCCCCCTTTCTAAAGATACACAGAGAACAGTGGCAGGTATGATAAAATTTCTATGAATCTTAAACCATCTGCCACCCACCAGTGAAGGCACTCAGAAAATTAATGAGACACCACTGCTGATTAGAAATGACTCTGCAGCTTCAAAACTGCTAAAAGCTCCCCAACAATACAAATAATTGCAAATTCATGAAACTAGCATCAGCTTGTTTCATGAATTTCCTCCCCCCCCCCACACACACACATTTGGGGGGGAGGAGAAGGCCCGCCAGGGGTCAACCAGCTGCACCACCCTCAGTTCCATAATGATGGAACACCCCTAATACCCTACGGGGAAGAGGGGGAGTCACCAGGGCTCACCAAGAAATTTGAGATCATTTTTTAATTTTTTTTTTCTCTTACCTTGTGGCTTCCGGAAGCTAACTACTGATGGACAATGGAGAAGGAAACCAAATTAGGCACCAATCAGGAAGGAGGCAAAATCAGAGAAAAGCAGACAAAGCACAAAACACACAAGGGTGCCAAGCTACTACAAGCCCACGAACCTGCACATGTATCTACGATACGACTCCAGTCACCCCTCCTCCTTGAAGAACTCCCTACCCTACTCCTTAGGTCTACGTTTGAAGAGGATAAACAGCCTTGAAGACACACTTGCTACTCAACTTCTAGACCTCTGGGGCATGTTCTCAGCCAGAGGATACCCAGAACGAGTAATAGCAACGGCTAAAAACAAACTAGACCTGAAGACGAGGTCAGAGCTCCTCATACAGGCCCCCACTCCAGACCCTCAGTCGAGATGGATCCTCCCATCGCTGTATTTTAACGGCCTAGCAAGCCCTCTCCATAATGCCCTGACTGACATCTGAAACTGGCTGAGAAACACCTATGGGGACCACCCTTCTTGGCCTAGGTTTGTCCAAACACCTCCAATGCTGGCCTGGAGACGAGGAAAGTCACTTAAGGATCATCTAGCACATTCCTGCCTCCACAGGACACACTGCCTTTAACCGAACTTGACACAGACCGATGGTGCAAGAGAATACCCCTGGTTCCCTGGGTTGGGGCCACGAGGTTGAGAGGGCCCCCACAACACAATGCCTAGAGATAAAAACGAAGCTATACCTAATAAATTCCCTGTAACCTACCTTACCCTTCTATTGTCAACCAATGTCTGTTTTTTTTTAAAGAGCGCTGTTTGTCGACATAATTGTATTTGTGCTTCTTTTTCAGCTATGTTTTCATTTCTTGTTTTCATTCTACTCTTTATGCTCAATTAGTATTAAGCTTGTCATTTAAGTTCTTCATGCCCGAAACGCTTTGCGTAATAGTGGCTTTAGGCATTGTATGTACTAGCTCTACCTATAAATCAACCAATCTTTGTAAAAACTTCTTGTATGTATGTACCTTACCTAAATAAACATTTATTTATTTATTTATTATTATTTATATAAGAGCCAAAAACGGTAACTCTAGCCAGGTGACGTGAACCCGAGAAAAACGGGCACATTCACCTCACAAATACCACATTTCCGCATGAGCTAAAACTCCAAGACACTGATGCTCACCTCGCGTATCACCCCAAGAGTGATAAATCCCCAAGAGTATTGATTTGGTGAAGACACTCCGGCGTCAGGGCCTCCCAGCTGACGACCATTGTTGTTGTGGCGAGGGACGAGTCGTCGTGCACCGCCGCTTCTCTTGTCGTACCTCGCTCCCGTCTCGTCTCCTCGCTCAAGCCTGCACTCCTGCTTCAACCCTGACGACGTCTGCTTGTGTGCGGGTGACAACTGGATGTTATTAGCAGTCTCCGTGGTGTAGTGGTAAGACACTCGCCTGGCGTTCCGCGAGCGCTATGTCATGGGTTCGTATCCTGGCCGGGGAGGATTTACTGGGCGCAATTCCTTAACTGTAGCCTCTGTTTAACGCAACAGTAAAATGTGTACTTGGATGAAAAAACGATTCTTCGCGGCAGGGAATCGTATTCCAGGGACCATAGGATTAAGGACTTGCCCGAAACGCTACGCGTACTAGTGGCTGTACAAGAATGTAACAACTCTTGTATATATCTCAAAAAAAAAAAAAAAAAAAAAAAAAAAAAAAAAAAAAAAAATGTGTACTTGGATGAAAAAACGATTCTTCGCGGCAGGGAATCGTATTCCAGGCGTAGCGTGTGTTGCTCCTTCCCCGTATAGGTCACCTCCCCTGGCCGGAGGCAGGCGTAGAAGGCGAGGGAGAAGAGTGCTCGATACCAGGTCTTCTCGTAAGTCGAGCGGCAAACACCTCGCAGGGCCCCCAGTAGTCGTCTGGTCACGGGCAATCGTCATGCGGGGAGCCGTTAGGCCTTGTTGCGCGCTCCCTTAAGGAGTTGTGTGACTAGGAACTGGCGAGTAGGGTCCTCCCTACCACGCAGGAGGGTGCTGCCCCCATGCTGAGCATTTTCTCGTAGTAGTGCCGCCCTCCGTAGGCGAAGCCGAGTAGATGGTAGTCGCTGGGGTGGACCGGGATGATCCAGAACGCCTCTGCTATGTCGCATTTCGCCAGGTGCGTCCCCAGCGAGCGTCTGCCCACCAAGGCCACCGCGTCGTTGATGGACTGGTAGGTCACTGTTGTCGCCTCCCGCGGGATGTTGGCATTCACGCTCTTGGAGGTATTGGGGTAGCTGAGGTTGTGCAGGAGCCTGTATTTGCCCGGCATAGACTTCTCTTTCAGGGCTATGGGAGAACACTTGAAGTTCTCAAATGGGGGGGACCTCGAAGGGGCCCGCTATGCGCCCCAGGCTCAGTTCCTTGTCGAGCATAGGCCCCACTATATGTGGCAGGGCTGTAGTTGCTGGGGGGGGGGTACGAGAGGAGAGGGGAGTCCGAGCCCCTTCGGACGTGCTGGAAGAGCTGTGTCGCCGCCTTGTCGTGTGGCTCCTCGCCCTTGACCGTGGGCGGCGCGCAGGGGGGGGGGGAGGCTGTGCGTGTAGGCCGGTTCGTGAGGGCGTCCATGTCATCCGCTCCGCCGGGGTTCGAAGACTGCCGTCGCCTCGAAATGGAGAGGCAGGGGGGCGGCTCCGAGCCTGAGCAATGAGCGTCTGCAGCGTTGCCCAGTCGGCGGCCGAAAGTTGTGGGGGTTGGTCGGCCGCGCCCCCCGTGGCTATGCTGGTTGGGCGTGCATCGTGGATGTGGTCGCCGTCCGAGTCAGAGCCTCCCGAAGAGGCGAAGCAGGGGTGGGGGGGGTTTCACCCTTGCCCTGGGCGGTTGCGTCCTAGCGCCCCTTCGTCGCTGTCCTCTTGTTGGCGCCGCCCTTGTCCTCTTCTTCACCGTGGGGGAGTGGGCCGGCATCTCCATACTGCGGAGAGGGGAAAAAATAAGCGGGCGGCCAGGGCAGGACAGGAAAGGAAACATGGCTAAGCATGAAGCAAGATAACTTATAACCATGGAAAGCAAAGCATGGCAGCGAAAAAAAAAAACAGAAGAATGTTTGGGCTACAATTGGGCTACATCGGATGGGCCAATTGGGTGCATCTGATGGGCCAATGGGCCGTCTGCGTTGTCCAAGTATTGTACCTCACCTCACTTCACCACTCTCTCCTGCCTATTTATACCCATCACTCGATCTGTAAAATCATTCCTTCTGAAGATGTATTTAATATACGAAAGTACTTAAGGAAATTCCTGTTTCATTTTCCTCCGTGGTCTGACATTGTCACATTCTTAATCACGTGTTTATTTTCGTGATATACACACATTATATCAATAATATACTCGCTCCAAACTCTTTTTTATTTATATATATACAAGAAGGTACATTGGGTTTGTGAGAATACATTGGATAGTACAGTATTTACATTCTTGTAAAGCCACTAGTACGCGCAGCGTTTCGGGCAGGTCCCTTAATCTAGCATATAATTTTAAGTAGGTAAGTTCAATCAGAATTGATAAATGAAAGATACATTACAAGAGAAAAATGAGATGAGAGAGATAAGTAAGTATATTAAAGCACATTGTTATATTAAAGCTCTGATTGATTACATTGACAGCTTGATTAGTAATTTAAACAAGATTAATAGACACCATACAGCAGATTGACAGCACATATAATACAGCAATGATCACAATGGTAAAGATGTTCAAAATGGGTACATAAAGCTCTTATTAGCTTAATTACAATACAATACAATACAATACAATACAATACAATACAATTTTATTCAGGTAAGGTACATACATACAATAAATATTTACAAGGATTGTTTAACATATAGGTATAGCTAGTACATACAATGCCTAAAGCCACTATTACGCAAAGCGTTTCGGGCATGATAAACTTAAATGACAAGCTTAATACTAATTGAGCATAATGAGTAGAATGAAAACAAGAAATGAAAACATAGATGAAAAAGCAGCACAAATACAATTATGTCGACAAACAGCGCTCTTTAAAGAAAAAAAAACAGACATTGGTTGACAATAGAAGGGTAAGGTAGGTTACAGGGAATTTATTAGGTATAGCTTCGCTTTTAACTTAAACTGGTTGAGAGAGGTACAGTCTTTAACATGGTTGGGAAGGTCATTCCACATTCTGGGCCCCTTGATTTGTAGAGCATTTCTAGTTTGATTAAGTCGTACTCTAGGAATATCAAAACTGTATTTATTTCTGGTGTGATGCACATGGGTTCTGATACAACCTTCTATGAAGCTTTTGAGATCAGGATTGGCATTATAGTTTAGCGTTTTATATATGTATAATACACATGAGAGAATGTGCAGTGACTTAATGTCTAACATATTCAGAGATTTAAGTAGGGGTACCGAGTGATGTCTGGGGCCAGAATTGGATATTGTCCTAATAGCAGCTTTGTGTTGAGTAATTAGAGGACGTAAGTGATTTTGGGTAGTAGAGCCCCAAGCACAAATACCATAGTTGAGATATGGATAGATAAGGGAGTAATAGAGAGTCACCAGGGCAGGGCGTGGTACATAATATCTGATCTTAGAAAGAATGCCCACAGTTTTTGAAACTTTTTTTGATATGTTTAGAATGTGTCCCTGGAAATTAAGCTTGTGGTCAATGAGAATGCCAAGGAATTTGCCATCTAATTTGTTACAAATTTGGGTATTGTTTATTTTGAGATTTATTTGATTAGAGGATTTATTGCCAAACAGAATATAAAAGGTTTTGTCAATGTTAAGGGTGAGTTTGTTGGCAGTTAGCCACAGATGGACTTTATTTAGCTCAGTATTTACTGTGACATTTAGAGCAAGGGGATCAGGACTGGAGTAAATGAAGGTTGTGTCGTCAGCAAATAGAATTGGTTTGAGGTGTTGGGAGGCATTTGGAAGGTCATTAATGTAGATGAGAAAGAGGAGAGGGCCAAGTATGCTGCCCTGGGGAACACCAATGTTGATGGGTAGGGTGGGAGAAATTGTTATTCACAGAAACATATTGGAGCCTGTCAGTAAGGTAGGATTTGAGGTATTGTAGGGAGTGTCCTCTGACTCCATAATGATGTAATTTAAGAAGAAGGTTTTGGTGGTTGACAGTGTCAAAAGCTTTACGCAGGTCCACAAACAACCCAACAGAGAACTCATTTTTATCAAGAGCTGTATGAATCGAGTTAAGCATACTAATAAGTGCATCGTTAGTGCTTTTTTTGGGTCTGAAGCCATATTGGCAAGGGCTAAGTATATTGAGTTTGGCTAGATATGAGTAAAGCTGCTTATAGATTAGTTTTTCAAAAATTTTTGACAAGTTTGGCAGGCAAACTCAAATTGGCAAACTCAAATTAGATGAGTTTGTTAAGTCTACTTAATCCACTAATACCTCTTCCCTAATTACAGGTAACATTACTTACAACTTTAGGTAATGGTGCTTAATTAGCACTTACAATACATTTTTTTTTTTTGAGATATATACAAGAGTTGTTACATTCTTGTACAGCGACTAGTACGCGTAGCTTTCGGGCAGGTCCCTGGAATACGATCCCCTGCCGCGAAGAATCGTTTAAAATAATAAAAAAAGTCTCAAAAACGTTTCGTATACTTTCTAAAATCATATATCTGAATTATCTAAAAATCCGAATTAATCTAAATTCTAAAAATATCTAAAATATAAATCTAAAAAAAATCTAAAATCTAAAAATCTAAAATCCGAATTAGGGAACATCAACCTAGCAGTGCAATCTTCTCTTCAAAAAACTCTCGGCCTTTATAACACCCACTGTCCTATGCTAACGAAACAAGTCACAACTAAAAGGCTAAACAATCCTTGGCTTACAAAGGGGATACCTAAATCCATTAATAAAAAACATGACCTTGAGAAGAAGTATAGGTTAGGAATCGTCTCCAAAGAATTCTCTAAGAATTATTCATCATTGCTATCTAAAATAATTAGGAGAGCCAAAATTAAATACTACGCAGATAAATTTACCCACACAAAGGGCAATATTAGGAAAACATAGAGCACAATTTCTCAAATATTGGGATCAAAGAAAATTATAAATAACAAACCAATACTCCTGTCAAATAATGATGGTCTGCTTTCAGCCTCTGACACTGCTCTTGAGTTCAATAGGTTCTTCTCTTCCATTGGGTCATCCCTTGCAAATGATATTCCATCTTCCAGTACTAATATTCAGGACTATCTTACAGGTAACTATCCACAGTCTCTGTACCTAATGCCTACTAATTCCACTGATGTTACTGACATAATCCTTTCCCTTAAAACTAAGTCTAGTGCCCTTGACTTAGTCTAGTGCCCTTGAGATACCAACTCTTATTTACAAAAATGCCTCCAGATTTTTAGCTCCTGCCATTGCATTGCTCTTCAACAAGTCACTTGAACTCCAAACCTTTCCAGATATTCTAAAAAAAGCGAGAG